AGGAAGGCGCCCGGCGCCCAGTCCCGCCCTGGCGCGCCGAGGCTGGCCAGGTCTCCCAGCAGCGCCTGCGAACGTGCGCCAGTGTCGGGGCCCAGCTCCAGAGTGGGGTGGCTCTGCACCCCAACGCCGCGCCCCCTTCTCCACAGGCAGTGACTGACCTGCATGACTTGCGTTTTTAGCCGCTTCCGAGGAATCTGGTGGAACTCCATCTGGAACACTGAACGGAACGTTTGAGAGCTACTGAGGCGAAGAAGGGCCACGGGGCCTCCCTGGTGGCGCAGGGGTCACAGCACAGGCCAGGGAGCTGCCCGCGGCCGTGCGAGTCCATCCCCGGCCAGAGTTGGCACCAGGCGCCGCAGACCCCTCCTGCCCCCGCTGACCCTCAGCAGTGGGTTTCAGTAGCTCCGCCTGTTCTGTTCCCCACTGTCTCTGACAACCCTCTGGCCTGTACCCCAGTTCTCGTGAGCCAAGGCAGACAGCACAGGGCGCGCCCACTGAATACACCAGGAGGCGCCTGCAGAGCCCTCGGGTGTAGCAGGGGCACGCGCCAGGGCTGCCTGGCCCAGGCTGAGGGAGGCGCTCCTCAGCAGCGTGAGAGAACACGTCCCTGGGGCGCAGGGGCTAAGCCTCGGCACATGAAGCCCTCACCAGCCACTGTGGCCTGAGAGTGAGGGACCCCTGGGTGCAGCAGGCCCCCCCCGTCTCCCCGCTGCCCCCTCAGCAGTGGGCTTCAGCAGATCCTCCTGTTCTGCTCCCCAGCCTGCCTCTGGGGAGTCCTCTCACGCCCCACCTATGGCTTGTACCCCACTTCTCGTGTGCGAAGAAACCATTGCCCACCTAACAGCCCCGCACCCACAGGCCTCAGCCCCAGCCCCGGCACCCGGGTCCCGCCTTCATTTCCACCACCTCTCGCATCTGCCTCCCAGCGCCCAGCCAACCAACAGCATGCTCTGCTGGGGGCTGCTCACCCCGAGGAAAGGCCGCAACCCCCAGAGAAACTGCTGAGGGGGCGGTGGGGAGACAGGAGGGGACTGCCGTGCACGCTGAGGGTCACTCCCTGGCCAGGCCGCATTCGCAGTGGCTGCTGAGGGCTCTGTAGCGCCGAGGTGACCGGCAGGAGCCACGTGTGGTCTCGGCACGGGCCTCCCGAAGCTGGCGAGAACCCGCCCGCGCCCCCCCGGAACCCCCCGCCAGCCGCTCAGAGCACGAGGATGGACACGCTGTAAGTGCGCGGCCTACCTGTTATCTGCCATCTGAGTGTCTCTGTCACCTGCAAGTAAAACAAGAGTTGTGATCACTACACAGTTGTCCACTGACTCGCCCGCCCACGCTCCCCACAGCCCCCAGGCTAGCTCGTTTCTGAGCTCGCGCGCGGGTCAAGACACCCAGGGACACCCACCCTGGTCCACAAGGCACCGCGTGCGCGCTGACTCGCTGAAGCCCTCTCACAGCCCTGCCCTGGCCAGACGTCCGGCGACACCCGGCCCCGCCCGCCCG